GAAATAGTAGCGGCAGAGTGGCTCCTAAAGCCGGAGGTGAATGGTGCTGTGTTCTCTCATGCAGCTGCTCGGACTCTCTGGGTGCGTCAGGTGCTACTCTCAGGTGCTAATTTTTTCACAAAGTCACATGACCTTTCTCTAAAATACATCTTGATGACTTTGTATTGTTAATATTTGTAACAGTTTCAGTTGTTGATGTGTCGTGTGATTGTGAACAATGGAAAAGGTTCTAAAAAGGCCATTGCCCTAAAACTGTAACAATCCCTGAAGAAAAACACAGCCTGGGACCAGTCAGCTGCGTGTAACGTGTATGTAAACATGTGAATTCAGAGTATATGTTCTGTCAGTCATTTCAAGTGTAAATTTTTTTTCAACAGCTCACAAAAAACAAAGTTCCTTTAAAGAGAAAACACACGCCATTAAGTCACATTAAATAAATAATCCAATATTCTCTTATGGCTCTGTTCGGCCGGTTCTAATACTAATCAAATTATCCCAGGGCCAAGATAGACTTCAACACCTTTGCATTAAAATAATTGATGATTATTGTTTTTTCTTAATTACAAAACATTTCATTAACAGTGTAGGTGTTTGTGCTTCATGTCAGTTTTCCGATCAAAAAGGAGAAAAAGTCTTGCATCGAGTCCGTCTTGACAGTTTCAACAGTAGACCTCCTGCTGTGAGGCAGTAGTGCAAACCGCTGAAAGAGAAACCTCTGACGCAGTATTGTTTTAATGATTCCTGTACTTTTATCAATACATATATTATAGTTGCTTTTTAAATCTAGACGCGTCTCTAAGTGGCTTTAAAGGGGCTGTAATACCCACTTCTACCAGAAGAGGGGAGTGCAAAGATCAGTTACTATTCAAGCAGAAAAAACACAGAGGATAATTTATTCAAAAAAAAGTAATGCTTAGAAAATATACACACACACAAATAAAAAAATAAAAAAATATAATAATACATTTTATTTATACGGCACCTCACATTTCCAGGAAACCTCAAAAAAACTATGGATAATCATGATTAGAGTTTCCAAAGAGATTTCTGGTCCACCCTGTTTTATTGTTTTAGTAAATAGCTCATTCATTAATCAGTAACCATCAAGCTGTGTATTTATTGTTTGTGATTAAAGAAGTGATTAAGACCATCGTATCTGCTTCAAGGAGCAACACAAATGAATCTATGGCCCTTTTGTCTCATGTGTCCCTCAGTCTGTCTGTGGTCAGGTCTCGGCTTATCGCTTCTGCTGCAGAAGTTACATAATGGTTTGGCTGCAGTGATGTGGCATTCTGACATACACAAACAAACCTGTTGGACACATGTATTTCAAAGCATTTGTAAGTTAAGATGATCCTTTAATGATCCCACTGTGGGGAAATTTCAAAGCCATCGTTGCACAAACCGGGTCTGTTATTTAAAGTAGTAATATGTAAGATGTCCCTAATCTGTCCAGAGGCATTAATAAAACCTGCTCTTTTCCAATACTTCTTTATCTGATGACAGTAGTTCTGTTATGGTGTGGATTTATTTTTGTATTTTTGTTTAATTCACAGAGAACAGACGTCAAAATAAGTTTTAGTTTGACTTCCTGTCCTGTTTCCCCAGTCTTGATTGTCTGCCTTGCCCTGATGTGTTTCACCTGTGTCTGTGTCTATTTGTGCGCTCCTCTCCCCTTGTTGCTAGTCCATTGTATTGTCAATGTCTTGTCCACGTCTGTTCCTGTTTCGTTGCTGCTTGTGCCTTTGGATTTTGAGTTTTGAGTCAAGCATTTTGAGTCCTCCATCACTTCACAAGTTCAGAGATAATGAAATTTCAAAATGAGCTTTTCAGCCCCCTAAATCTTGTTGTTACCAGAACTTACTGCGTCGAGCTAATGTCACTGATTAAGTGCCACGTCGCCGCAGAACTAAAAAAAGGTCCACTATCTGCGTAGGTTTCCTCTGGGTGCTCCGGTTTCATGTGCAATAGGTCTGGCATGTGCCTCCTGTACTGGCCCCGCTCCCATCTCTGTGTGGAGTCAGAGACAAATGCTATTGTTAAGTGCTTTGTGACTCTGGTCTGTGAAAGGCGCCATATAAATAAATGACATAGTATATAATTATAAATACATTTTATCTACACAAGAAAAGTTGTCTGGAAATAAACAAAATATGAAACAAGCTTAAAAACTCACTGCTCAGACTTTTTTCTCTAAGATTATGAAGTATCTGAAAACAAGTAAAATAATCGGTAACACTGTATTTTAGCACCCACTAACTAACAGCTAATTAAGTGATAATTAGTGTATTAATGTACGGTTAATAAGCTCTTTATTGGTATTTATTAAGCACTTATTAGTCCTTTTTCTACATGGCCTAATTCAACATCTAACTCACTACTAACTGACACTTTCCCATTTATTAATTCTTAATTATGACAAACTACATTCAAGCAATATGTATCTTGCCATTGAAACAATAAGCCTGATATATATTATTTTTAGCAAACAAATCTAACCAAGAGTTTACTTTTTCCACCTCCTTCTAAACAATTACAAGCAGTATATTTAGAGAACACATATATTATATTTAGCTTCACATTCCCGTCCAGAGTTGTTGTACTTAGGGCCCCACTTAACCATATCCAGCAGTCCGGGTTCTCCACCAAATTCATCTCTCCATCTCCTGTGAGGATCTCATCGCTGAAAACGCCGCACGAACAGAGAAACTGTAACTGTGGAGGTTTAGATGAGAGAGGACAGCACAGGACGGGGAGGTTCTGTTCCCTGCTTCTGGAGCCGGGATTCAGAGCCTGCTTTGTTAAGGGCTGTTAACTCATTGACTGCCATTGACTTATTAGTCTGAGACCCTCTATTTGACTGGGGATTACAGGACCCCAGAAACAGCTAGAAACAAGCTTATTTTTGCTGATGAAATTAGACAATCCAGTCTTTCAGAATCTGGTTTCATATTTCACATAGTCATAGGAAATAATATTCTGTGGGTCTGTGAGAAACAGTGGAATGATCAAAAACGGCTCAATGAGTTAATGGTTTGAATTAGAGCTGCAAAACCAAGAGTGAGATGATGACTTTTCTCAGAAGTCCACAGCAGTCGTCAAGTTTATAAAGGAAAAAAAAACGTATATTAGTAATGACCAAAGTGTTTAAAGAATGATTTAAATGGTGCAATCTTGAAGTGAAAACTACACTGGTGGAAATCCCTTGGAAATACTGCTTGAAATGATAAAAAATATCTGTCAATAGAAAAAGAAAATATGACTTTCTGAAAATAAGATAACAATATTACCCGCAAATGACTTGATTCTAGTTCAAAAACAAGTATTATTTACTTATTTCTTGAACATTTTTGAGACATGTTTTCTTAAAATGTAGCAGACCAAACTTATTTTATCTAAAGACGAAGTTCAAAAACAAGTATTATTTACTTATTTCTTGAACATTTTTGAGACATGTTTTCTTAAAATGTAGCAGACCAAACTTATTTTATCTAAAGACGAAAAGTTGTCTGGAAAAACAAGCTTAAAAATTCACTGCTCAGACTTTTTACGGTATATAAGTTTAGAAAGTATCTTAAAACGATAATTACCTTAAATGACAAACTACATTCAAGCCAAAAAAAAATAAAAAACTTGCCATTCAAGATAAGTATAATTTATGTTATTTTTAGTAAATAAATATTACCTGGAGTTTACTTTTTTCAGTGTATGAATCTGAGGCTTTACCACACTGAAAAAAAGTAAAATCTTGGATAATTCTTCTTTTTTCGAGCGCTTTTTTCCAGTGCAAAGAGACTGAGCTCACTTTCCTCAGCAGTTCCAATAATAAGAACTAAGTTCATGCAGAGGATTGTGTGTGGTCTGTGTTCATGTCATCGCGTCACAAGTCAGACGTTTAAGCAGCCGTTTTAACATAGAAAATATCACCACCTTTTCAATACAACTTATTCGTCATTTTCACCCAAAATCTGGGTCACACCAGCCTGGCCTTAGTGGTCCATAAACGTCTGGGTCTGATCCTAGTGGCTGCAGTTTCCTCGGTTGAATCCCCTCCGACCAATCAGAGAGCGGGGGAGGCGGGTGTTGTGGGGAAGTGTCGGTGACGTCAAGAGTTTGTGCTGAAATAGCTGGTTGTAGTTTGGCGGCAAATGCGATAGTAAAATAATCTGTTCTAGTTTGACTCCAAATATAAATGAATTGAAGCCGGAGCAAGAGAAATGTTTGTAAATGTCGTTGCTGCAAAGATGTTGTGGCTCTACTCCCCACGGGCTCTGTTAGAGAGGAGATGGCTAAAGCTACTGTAGGCTAAATGCTAAAGCTAGGCTAAATGCTAAATGCCTCACTCACTCGGGTGCATTACAAACGTCACGGTAAACTCAGATCCAATCGTTTCAATCTGCAAAAGGAGTTAACCCCTCCCACCTGTAAAGCCCAATGGAGCAAATCCAGACAGTAGCACGAAATGAAATGAGTACGATGGTGTGGTAAGACCAGGTTAGGTTGCTGACCAAGTGAAGCAGGAGTGGACACATGTAAAAGCTGTCAGACCTCTGAAGCAGTGCAGGGCAGGGCCTGGTTAGTACAGTGATGGGAGACCTCTGGGAACGGGGGGCGGCCGCGACTGTAAAGCATCAAACTGTGGTTGTGTCCTTAGGCAAGACACATCCCCCGCATTGCCTAGAAGGAGTCTGGTGTGTGTGTGAATGGTGGTCTGAGGGGCTGATGGCACAGACTGGTTGCCTCGCTTCTGTCAGCGTGCCCCAGGGCAGCTGTGGCGTGAATAGTCTTTGAGTGTTTATTATTATTATTATTATTTTTATAAAATCTTGAGAAAATGCAAATGAATCACCTGTTAAAAAGTCACAGAACCTGCTTCAGAAAACTTACATTACAAACTTACAACCTGCTTCTTACCATCTGAGAGTTGGAGATCACATAACCCTCAGAGAAAGGTTAGCTAAACACCGCAGCAGCCGTGGAACCAGTTCATATCGTAGCTAATGAAAAGGTACAGCATTACAGCGGCCGTGAGTGCGACTCCCAGGAGACCGACTTCCACACAGTGTGCGATTGTGCCGTGCTGGCTCCTGTCTCTGGACCGGCCCCGTCCACGGCCTCCGCACCGGCAGCAGAACAACAAACAAGCGGCCTGTTTCATGGTGAGGTAAGTGGAAAACAGTGCTACTACATGTACTTCTACAACTCCACTGTATACTTTTATGGAGTATTTAAACCCCGCCGTGTTACGTCTGTGCGCGTATTTACTCAGCCCTCGTTTGCAGCCCGTACAGTGGAATCTGTCACGTCCAATTAGACGCAGGACTGTCTTTTTCGGAAACACGCTTGGATCAGACCGGCCCGAACCAGGTCGCGGTTTTTCTTGCTTTGTTTAGACACTGTAATTGACGTGAAAAGAGATTCGCTTTCTCTGCGTGCATCCACCTTTTGGCAAGTGAGTAAGTGTGTAATGTTTATTTATATTGTGCATTTTTACAGACTAAGATCACCCAAAGCACTTTACAATGTTCAGAGTTCAGATATTTTTCCATTCTCTCCACACGGTGATGACGGAAGCTTCAAAGTCCCAAACCAACACCATCCATTCACTCTCTCGTTATATTCAGACCTATTGTTTGTTGTATGTTTTTAGTGGAAGGAGAAATCGGAGCACACGGAGGAAACTGGAGGACATGGAGGATACAGGAGCACACGGAGGGAACCGTAGCACACGGAGGAAATCAGAGCACATGGAGAAAACCGGAGCACACGAAGGACACTGGAGCATACGGAGGAAACCGGAGTACATGGAGGAAACCAGAGCACATGGAGGAAACCGGAGCACACGGAGGAAACCGGAGCACACGGAGGACACTGGAGCACACAGAGGAAACTGGAGCACACAGAGGAAACCGGAGCACACGGAGGAAACCAGAGCACATGGAGAAAACCGGAGCACATGGAGAAAACCGGAGCACACGGAGAAAACCGGAGCACACGGAGGACACTGGAGAACACAGAGGAAACTGGAGCACACAGAGGAAACTGGAGCACACGGAGGAAACCAGAGCACATGGAGAAAACCGGAGCACACGGAGGACACTGGAGCACACGGAGGAAACCGGAGCACACGGAGGAAACCAGAGCACATGGAGAAAACCGGAGCACACGGAGGACACTGGAGCACACGGAGGAAACTGGAGCACACAGAGGAAACCGGAGCACACGGAGGAAACCAGAGCACATGGAGAAAACCGGAGCACACACGGAGGAAAATGGAGCACACGGAGGAAACCAGAGCACATGGAGAAAACCGGAGCACACGGAGGAAACCGGAGCACACCTAGGGACCCAGAGGAAACCGGAGAACATGGAGGAAACCGGAGCACACTGAGAAAACCGGAGCACACGGAGGAAAATGGAGCACACGGAGGAAACCAAAGCACACGGAGGAAACCTACGCACGGAGGAAACCTACGCAGACATTGTGTGCACCATGTGCACTTGTATATTGTAAATAGTAACTGTAACTCTATTTTAAATTTAAATTTATTCTTTAGAAGTGTTAAGACAGCCCAATCATCAGATATCACAGAATCAGAGCCGGAAGTAAAAACTGTAAATATATAACAATGTTCTTTTTGAAGTGTATTGCAGCTGAGTCACATGAGGCCACACACTTATTTTTATTATCTCTTTTTGACTGTTGCACTGAGCCAAAGCAATTTCCTAGTCTGTGACCTCCTGTTACTTACGTGGCAATAAAAATGATTCTGATTCTGATTCTGAGACACGAAGCAGAACATGCAAACTCCACTCAGAAAGTCCCTGTTCCGACCATGATTCAAACCCAGGACCTTCTTGTTGAGAGGCGAGAGTGCTAACCACTCAGCCGCCCTTTTAGACTTGAAGGCACCGCTTGTATTTGCACAAGTTTCCCTGAGTTAAGTCCGTCTGACCTATTACCCAAAGTCCCACAAAACATGGTTTGTACAAGTTGTGCTTTTAAAAAAGTAGTGTGCGTTTTTTGCCAGATGTTGTTCCTTGTTTCTTTCCACATAAAAAGCTGTGTAGATGAAATGGATTGGTGTAATGCTCTCCTGCGCTGGCCCCGGTGACGGGAGACAAGGTCTGCGGTGGAGACTTCTCGGACAGCGAGAGTTTGGGTTTCTGCTGAGAGCCATACATCCACAAGAGCTGCTACTGTTCCCCGCTGTTGTGTAATGGTGTTGTCACTTGGAAAACTATTACATTATCACATTATGTTTGGGCTGCGCTGCAAAAAAGTACAAGCATCTAGTCAGACTTCAAATGACTCATACAGATGATTAGTTTGTGTTTTAAGCGGATAGGTTTGATCCTCCAGGCGCCACGGTTGACTCAAAGTAGCACGATGTATAAGATTTTCACGTCAAGTCATCATTAAAGGGCCCTACTGCTGCTAATGTACAGATGCTAACATATAACTACACTTTACTTGCTCTAAAATGCATAGTACTTTATAATTGCCTCTTGTTTTCCAAATTTATTATTAATTTTAAGATATACATTTTATACTTACAGTATTATTGATGCTAGAGTTAGTATAATTAATTAATTAGTATAGCTATTGTTCAGTTAACGTGTGCCGTGTGCTCCTCTTTCCTACCGTTCTATAACCTGTGATGCAACACTGAAAATTCCCCACTGTGGGACAAATAAAGGATCTCTTAATCCTTATTTACAGTATGCCTTTATCTGTCCAAAGGCATAAATAAAACATGGTCTTTTCGAAATTAACTTATAACAGTAGTTCAGAGATATTTGGATTTCAAAATTACTTTCCAGCTCCTAAATCTTGTTATTGTTTTCATTTTGATGTCCCGCCCTCTGCCGTTTTACTAATCAGAAAGTCCGTGATCCGCGTCAAGCTAATCTCACTGGTAAAGTCCCAAGTGAATGCATAGATTTTTCTGCTATAAGCTCAAAGGCACAGATGCCCTGAGGCAGACTGAGAGGAGCTGCCAATCTCCTCCATCAGTCCCTCAATAACAACTGTTCCCACTCGAGCCTCTGCTGTTGACTAATCTCAGTAGTAATTTAAATGCATGCTCTGGACAGTATTTACGAGTGGCTGAGTGGTTAGCAATCTCATTCAAATCCCGGTCGGAACAGGGTCTTTCTGAGTGGAGTTTACATGTTCTCCCCATGTCTGTGTAGGTTTCCTCCAGGTGATCCGGTTCCCCCTATACCACTAAAAACATGTTCTAAAGATCTGAATGTTTTGTGATTGAAGGCTGGTGTTGATTGGGGGCTTTGATGGTCCAGTGTGTTCTGGGTCTTGCTTCCGTCATCGTCGTGTGGAAAAATATCTGAACTCTGAACATTGTAGAGCGCTAAAAACTGTATATGTAGCATGATATGAGGACAGCGGCAAAATACAACCTACAGCACGGGTTATTCTTCATATTGCTTTTACATACTTTTTATTTCTGATCCATGCTTCCAACAGCTAAATAATTGAACCCATCCTAAATAATAATAATATCCTAAATAAAACTTTTTTGAAGATGAATTTTGCTGATTTTTCTCGACCAGCCCTGTATCATTTAGACCCTTTTGGACTCTACTTTAGGGTATTTTTCCGCATGTTGATTCAGTAAGTTGTGAGGTTTTTTTTATATGCATAATTATTTGCAAGTTTATACAACATTAGTCCTTATGCCTTTTGTTCTGTATTTGTAAGTTGTGTGATGCCAACAGTTGTTTGTGATAAAGCAACAGAAGCCTCCAGAAGCAACAGTAAATGTAAACGACAAAGTGTAACTAAGGTTATGGCTGTACAGTTGTGTATTCATCATATTTTATTCTGTTTCACTCTATGCGGTACATTTATGTTTTACTCTGAAAAGCTGAAAGACCCACGTCCCACGGATGGAAGTGATGCTATGTATACAGTCACCAGGTTATGAAAGTCTGGAAATGAAAAGAGTCCAAGAAGAATCCAAGAAGGTCTGGGAGGTGTGCGTTTGGTCTAAATCTATATTGTTTTGGGGGTTTTTTCAATCATTATTTCCTTGAATTTTTTCAGCATATGAATGGTGCGATAATAAGAAAAGACATTTGTATAAAGCCTTTACAAAAATGCCTACACTTTTGTATGTTTTTCATTCATTGGCGGCCTCCCGTGCCAACACTAAGCAAAGAGCATCCCTTGGGAGAATCTAATTACTGTTACTTAACTGTTCTAACCTCCCAAAATGGTGATTCCATTCCCTATAAAAAGCTGCTCTTTAACCTGACGGGGCATGTAAGGTGGAAGTTCATGTAAGTATACGCACATCCAGAGACTCCACATTTAAATAAATGTATTTGCTATATTTCAAAACAAACTTACAGTAACATGTTCTATAGAATAAACATTATGTGAGCCAAGCAAGGTTCACCCAAACAAAACAGAGAATCACACATTTAACCAGTCTGACATCTCTGACGTCCAGCAGAGATGTTTATTTTCCAGTCTTCGGTCAGGGCCCCTCTACAGAACACATGGGGCTCCAAGGGGCCAAGCCACGAAACGAATATCAAATACACACATTATTCAGAACTGACAGCGGCATGACGTCACGAAGCAGTACCAAACAGCGTGAGTGAGGCCTGTAAACTCTGACATGCAAGTACAAGTTGGTTGTTTTTGTACACAGGTATAAAAAGACAGCAGAATGGCCCACAAAGCCAAAACATCACGCTATAGAAAAGTGACAGTTCACAGTAGATATAGATCACAGAGTTATGTTGGGAGCAGTGGATACAAAGAAGTCGGACAAGGACTTTGCTCTGGGTTCACGAATGGGGCTTTTCAATACTCACGGCACTACGCGTTTTTTTTTTCTTCATTTTCACTAGATTTGGGGTGAGGGTACTTTTTTGGGAACGCCTCGGCCGTGGTTCCAAGCTTGACTAAAATTTGACGTCCGCCATACACTGATTGGACAATAAGTGTCGTCACTGGAAGCGTCATAAGGGGGACGTTTGACCCTATGGTAAACGCAACTCAACCCCGCCATTTTTAAAACCGGATGCTCTGCGACAAACACGAGAGAGTGCAAGAAGGAGCGCAGGACCTTTATCCCCACCGCTGTCAGACTGCAATAAGTTCAATTAGTCACTGTAAGTCACTTGCACTAGGACTAAAAAACCTGCACTACTATTGCCACTGTTTCTTTAATTGCCACTTTTTTATCGTACATAGTATATCCTGAACAGACTATATATTTTTTGCCTTTAACATGTTGCACACTTTTGTCTTTTGCACAAATTAGAGTGATTCTATCTATGTGATCTCTGAGGTCATTAAAGTCTACATTCTCTTATCTTAGAAACAGAATCGCACAGAAAGCCCCAAAAAGTCAACGCCATGATCAGTCGACGAGGTCCCCACGTTACTCTCTTTAGTGGCCGAAGAAAGAATTCAAAGGGAGCTCAACGGCACGACGAAATTAAAAAAGTTTTCAAGGAGGTTGCCCAGCTCCAGGCCGCACACGGGCTCCACCGTACGCTCCAGAAATGTAGGGGCAAGCTAAAAAATCTCAAAAGGCGATTACAGATTATAATGTTATATCATTATAGTTTAGCTTCCATTCAAAATCATAAAACTATCTTTTTCACAGTAAAATTTACATCGTCCAGTCTGTTCTCATTCATAACTACCCCCTTCATACTTGATATTGTATCTTGTTCAAAGATTTAAAAAAACACATTATTATATTCGGCCCAAACGTGTCCTCACAGCAGAAGTCCTCCCCGACAGACTCCACGCCTGGATGTTAGCTGTAGCATATGTTACATCTGTGCATGGGACAGTGATGCTATAAAGAAGGGTGCATGTCTGGCGCTTCATGCATAATAAATACACCCTGCAATGCACAGGATCAACAGCAGGTGGCGGGCTTGCTCTGCGCTGCACACCGTACACATGGCAGTGGGGACATTGGGGAGAGGAGGTGGAGGGACATGCATAGGACCACGGCACACTGGGAATATGCTCTCATATCTATATTTATATTGCTTTTAGGAATGTGCGTTTTTTCCCCCTCGCTGTTAAAAATATATATCTTCAACTGTACAATATGATTCAAAACACACATTGGCCCGTTGTGCTGCTCTGCTCCTGAAACTAAGGTTCAACCACAATGTTTTATACAGACAGACTTGCTTCTTAATGTGTGCTGCCCCCATCTCATTGGACAATATCAGCTTCAAAGTCACAAAAATACAGATAATTAAAAGTTCACAAAGCTGAATCATGAAGTATAGTGCTTTTTAAGACACAGAAACCCATACATCATTATGAAGACAGCGTCAAAAA